GAATCGGAGAAGTTTTTTTTATTCTGTCTGAATTGTACATTTTGATGTCCATTTGATTGAATTTTTTCTGGCTTTGTATTTTATATTTTAAGATGTACATTTAAATTTTATGTTCTACAAACTTCAAGGTTATTAAAATAAATTTTAAAATGTGAATTTTAACTAGTAATACTGTAGATGATAAATAAATTATTTTGAAGTATATTACAGTGCATTATGATATCTTTGTTATTTTGTATTTGTTGGTATAATGTTACATAAAAAAGAATAGAATACATGAATAGATAGTCTTTTATAATTATTCAATAATATTATCTGATGGGCAGCATAACTTTACATATTTCAGTGATATGTTAGGCATGGGGCATAGTTGGCTCTTTTCAACTAAGCCTACGACATTTTTTAATTTTCAAATTGGAAAGATTTAATCAAAATGTAAAATTTAATTTGGGAATATAATCTGTTTTGTATATTTATGGATAGAAAAATGTGTCATTTTGTATTTGAATTCTTCGATAAATTAAATTTATAACTTACAATACGTTTGTCTCGCCAAGTAATTCAATTCATAAGCAATTTCATCTATCGCCACTTCATCCGGTGAAACCTCGTAACAATTGTGCGTTATTTTTCAAACCAATTCCTCATTAACCCTTAACGATATCAACCTTAATTCCCATGGGTAATTTTCCTCCCCGATTTGGAACAAGTCTTTGGAAATCTCCCTCGTTAACAGTGGGTGTTCTATATACTAGGCTAATCACACAAAATGAATATGAGAAAAGCGATAACGATGCCAGTGAGAAACTGACGTCAAACAGTTGAATCACCTTGAAACAAAACAAAATAGTATCGGATTTGGTGGATGTTAGCTAATAAATGCTTTATCGTGTACGGTATTCCGGTGTCGCATTACCAAAGACTATTTAGGCTGTAAATTAGATTTTGTCTTAATTTGATCAAATTACTATTCATGTTTTGACCATTCATCCAGTGTTAACATCAACGAAGCTACTATTGTTGTTTTTAAGGCAGAAATTCATGATTCTCTTATTTCATCTTACTGATTGGAAGGCCTATGAAATTTATTTTCCTTGGAACAGAATCTTTTCCATGTAAGGCTTACCACTGGAATGCTAACATACTTCCCGGACATAATAGTAATGAATCATTGCACTTTAGCATTATGTGAGATTTGGTTGGAATGCAGTTGCTATTTTCGCTCTCATCCATAAGGTTGTAGGTTCAAATCCCACTATAGGACCAATAGTGTTCTTGGGAAAGAAAACTATGTTTGTCTGTCTCTACACAGGTTTATAAATAGGTGCCTTGGTAAGATACACTGTAGACGTATATTGTAATGTAGGCCTACTTTTTCTACTGAATAATCATGCTGACAAGGAAGACTCCCCAGGGACTGGAAGAAGTTCTTAATTATATGTACTGTAGATCTCTTCTTACAGTAGGCCTATACGTGTAAGCGAGACTTTTTTAATAACTTGTTAGCAAATTTTACTTTTAAAAGATCTTCAGAAAAGGGTGAAAATATAAGAATGAAATTTTTTATTTCTAATCTAAGGCAACACTTTTTTGATTCCTTGTTTCGTGTACTTATTCATTTAAAGATTATCGGCGGAGGGCGGAATAAAAATAAAAGAAACTTTTGATTTTTTTGTGCAATTTTCATTTTTTTTTCGTGGCGGTGGGTGTGCTAATTGGCCAAAAATAAAATTTTTTTTTTATTTGAAATTATCAATATTTGTAGTCGGCAGGTTCGCTTAAAAAAAGGTATAAAAAAAAAACATTTTGCAAAGCAAAAATTGAGGGTGTACTTCAGTTTTTGCTTTTGATATTTCTTGTGGTGATGTTTTGATATAAAATCCTTGATCATGCTAAGAGTTCACTTTCAGTGTTACACTTCAAGATAATAAATATATTTTCTATACTGAGAAAGATAATTTAGATAATAATAATTGATTTTATCAATGTAGACCTTAACCTTGTACTGCAGTATTAAGAACAGGCAGGTTGCATGTATGATGCTAATACATGACCAACTGATGTGTCAATGGCCAATGAGAAGTGATGTTTTATCTTCCTTTGGGGAGGCATCTTAAATAATGGCTATTAAACCTTTTCCAGTGCTGGAGTGAGTAGCATTTTGGGATTAATTGCGTTTAACAGTCCCGTCTACACCCTCAACCTGCAGTCATCAGAGAGAAATAACTAAGATGTGTGTTAACGCCTACGTTCAAATATCAACATTATTGATTGTCCCCAGAAGATAGCGAATTCACCTCTCGGAACTTAGAATAAATTATGTCTTTTAAAAGGAGGCGATATCCTGAAATGTTTCTTGCTACTCATTGCAATATTCAACCTTTCTTTGACAACTTTTACCGAGAGCACTGTATTTATTTCCCAGTATAGTACACAGTAGCAGTTTTATTGTTCCGGAAGTTAAATTCTCAATAAGAACACATCACACCAAAGAACTTTGGTCGGTTGCCGAAAGTTTAAATTAAGTTGGTCATTTTTTACCTTTTACAATGCCCTCTTTGTTGAATATGATAGCTTTAATGGTGACAAGTGGATAAAATGTGCACTTAAAAAATATTGTTACACTGTAGTTGCCTTGATTAGCACAAATACAGACTCCTTATTCATGTGAAAATAATAATTTTAATATTTAGTGAAGTCATTTACTATAGAGCATGCAGTGTATCGATCCATCCTTGTTTTGGTTTAGTACACCACAAGAAAATCTTTGCTCATTCCCAAAGAGTATATGCCTACTGAAATAAGCCATGATGATGTTGGATAGGATCAGCAGTTTAAATGGAGCAATTTCGAGATAGCAGATGCAGGGTTGCTGGGGGAGGGGAACAAGTGATGCAACTACATAGAGGAACAGTCCACTAGAATAAATAAAATTTTCATTTGGACGATTACTTTGTGATTATTTAAATTAGATATTAAAAACACCTAAAAGGCTATATATTCTCCACTTGTGCAATAATACCTAACCCCAATGGGGCTTTGTAGCCTGCAGTAGGCCCCCAGTTTATTTATAACAGTGGAATCACTTGAGTGATTTTTTTTTTTTTTTTTTGCTTCGAACATTTTCAAGGGGGTGGTGGGAGGGCAACGACTAGGGGTGCTTATCCCCTAGACGCCACTGGGTACATGAAATCAGATGTAAAGCATAAAGCTCGGCTTATATCCTAAGAAAGGTAATGATGACTTGTGATTCAATTAGCAATAGGTCTTTGGAGACACAAATTACTATCGCAATTCACTCATCAATATTATTTAGTTGGTAGAATTTACAACTAGACAGGTGTGTATATCTTAACGGCTACTTTATATAGTGATATTTCAAGTATGGTACCGTGTGCATGCTAGAGGATGAGAACGAAGTTGACTCGAAAGGTATTTTGTTGATGGACTCGTGATGCTATGTCAATATAAACAACTGGAGCAGGTTCTGAACCTGTGCTAAGTTGAGTGATGATAATAGATCGTGGAGAATAGAGTCCGGTTTGAGTGTGTTTTTGCTTGATTTCATTGGCTGTCTTTGTTTTCAAACGCCTGAGATGTTGTCGTGTTTGGCATTTGCCCGCTGTTTGCCACGTCAAGTCTGGTTTGAGGTTTGTTTTGTTTACATTGTAGTAGTAGTACTGTCATTAGGTTCATAACAGGACTTGCAAAACCAAATGATCACTTCACCACATTGTTTACCATACAAGCTGCTTCTATGTTGGCATAATCAAAAAATATTTATTGATAGATGTGGATGCTGATGGCAGATAAGATTATATACACATACTTGCAAGAAAACGAGTAATAAACATGTTATCGCTGCGATGATACCCGTAATTATATTGGATTTGCCTCGGGCAATGTCGTTAGAGTTTCATACTCTGAGACTTGCGTAGAACCGCTCCCCAGAAATCATGATATCCGGAAAAATTCAGAGGTTGTTAGCAAACATGTGCAGCTGTTTGTCATGTACACTATTATGATGCATGTTTTCTGAACCGTTTTATCCTCTGACAAGTTTTTTCAGAATTGCTACACAGGAATTCCTTTTCCCTGTGGCATTGATTTTATGTAGGCTTGTAGCATTGACAAGCTAGGATAAGGTCGTTGACATTTTGGTTGGGAGAGTCACTGTGGTTGAGGGATGTGTCATGGGGTGTTATGAGCTTTGCTTGAATTTATTGAGGGTGATAATCATCAGGTTACGATGAGACCACAAAGATTTTAAGTGTTTAATATATGACTTCAGGAAGTACTGTAGCACTTTCTACTTGGTTGGGTGTGATTAAATGTATATATATAAATATATATATATACACGCTTAGAAGTATCCATAGGGGGAAACTAAAACAATAAAGTGGGTTAAAAACAGTACCTTAAGGCAAAAATTGTGTCGCTAAGGGGAAACTAAAGCGACATTAAGGCAAAATCATAGACAAAAGAGCTGTCTCTTATACACATCTTGTTGTCTCAATCGGCCCAACTTTTGCACCTTACTACAACGTATAGGATGTAGCAGTAAACAGTTATATCTCTCTACTTGCCGTTTAAGGGCATTAAAATACTTATCTATCAAAATTACATTATTAATATTATAACTGTCATATATATAGACTATATGAAAATTTCTGTCATTACTGTACAGTGTATGATTAAGGTTATTATTTCAAAATATGATACATAATGTGCATTTAGAAATTTATCTTCACTTATGATTTTGAAGTTTAAGATTGACAGAATATTAAATTTAATGATATCAAAAAGTATCTTCTATGACAAGAGCGCATCATATATCATAACAGACAATACGTTTTTCTATCAAAAATCTATTATAAATCTTTATATTAGACGACTTGCATTCTCATATTACCCGCTTCATCATTAGAACGTACTTCAGTTGTATATTTCAAATTTATTCTCTTGATGGCATGGTCATTTTGTGTATAATTTTTCTCCAGGGAAATAGCCAATGGTCAAGCGTTAATGGCCGAAGTGTACAGCTATCTGCGACACCACTCCAACAAATCTCCGACATTGAGTTTCACCAACTTCAGAAGATTTCACTTCAGAAACTTCAAGCAATAGATATTGGACATGTTGTCATTCCCAAAGGTTTGTGTGAAAATTTATATATATTTTTTTTAAATTAACATAATATAAACTATTATTTTTTTAAATCTATAAAAATTAAATTAAATATAAACTTCAAATATGATAATGAAGCTATGAATATTAATATGTTATGCAAGACTTTCTTTACACCTTGTTTAGCGAACCTGCTGCCGGCCAATAATGATGATTCCAAATAACAACAAATTTTTATTTTTTGGCAATTAACACACCTGCAACCAGGAAAAACAATTTTTCTTTATTTTTATTTTACTCGTCGCTGCCTGAAATCCCCCAAAAAATAAGATATGTATAATTCTTCCTAATTATATAAATTTAAACATTTTACCATCTTATGACTACACTGTCTACATTCAACAAAAAATTGTATTATTATTTTCTTTTCCGTCTGGCTGTTTTTGACAACCACTATTTTCTAAATAAGATAGCAAAGCATTCATTTTCATTTTTTTCCACCTTCCTCTGACAATCTTTGAAAAAAAAAAAGTTTGCGAATTAAGGTATAAGAATAGTCTTGCCTAAGGTACATCAAAATAAAAATGATTTACAAAGTTATAGATATTATACGTAATAGATTTTAAATTATATATCGTTTAGGTGATTTTTAAAAGACTGTAGGGAAAGTTATTAAGTATTGTTTTAATTTCATTTGGAAGGCTGTTCCATGCTTTAGTTGTATGATATGAAAAATGTTTTTTTGCCATGTAGATGATTCTATTTTTGTTCAATCAAGTTGTTATTAGATAACAATAAAAATAATAGAAGATGTTCATTCCATCTGTTAGTAATGTTTATGATGTCATAATTTAAATTAATTTAATTTAGTTTAAATTTAATTTAATATCATCATTTAACTGATCAGCTTTACAATAAGTCACAGATAAAAAAATGAAAAATATAACCAAAAAAAAAACATTACTTCAAAAATCTGGCAGAAAAAATATGACATCATAAACATTACTATAACTATATTTAAATTAAAATTAAACTCAATTGAAATAAATCATAAACATTACAACAAAAATCTTTAAATTTAAATTAAACTAAATTTAATTATGACATCATAAACATTACAGCAAAAATCTTTAAATTTTATGGGAGAAAAATTATGACATCATTGCAAGTTCTCTATTCCCATGTCTCGGAACTCTGTTGTCCATTGGACGATACTTAGAAATATTATGAAAGATAATTAATGAATCATAAGCCTAAAATGCATCAATAAATTCAAATCCAGCAAGAATTTTTTAGTTTTTTTGAGGAGATTTTGTGTGAAATCTACATTAAATCTACAAATTGGAATGAAATTTCCCAGTGGAAATTTTGCAATAAATGTTATGAGATCAGTTTAATGTCATATTATGAGAGGAGTATTATGTTTTTTTTTGTACATGTAATCTACCAAATATTAAAAGAATCCCCAAAGAACACTTTCAATAAATGTTCTGCAACCATTTCAATTTAAATCTTTTTTTTTTTTTTAGAAAAATAAGTTTTTATGACTTGCAATGTGATACAAAAGTTAATTTTCTGAGTACAATGTCATTTAATAAGAAGGGAAGATATTGTAACTATCCCAACAAAACTGTTATATTATATTATATGTATTTGGCAAAAACAAAAAAAAACTGTTCTCCATTTGCTTACGTCAAACTCCAAACATTCTTAGGTTATGTTCTCAAAGGGCAGCTAACGGTTAGCAGGATCCGAATTCTGCTAACCGTTAGCTGCCGTGCGTCCATACGAGAAAATCCCGATCTGGATACCAAGAATATGATGATCGAATCATGGCCAATAAGAAACTGGAAATTGTAAACACGTACATGTGATTGGTTGATGATAGAAACGTGCTCGCTTGCTAACCGATAGCGCTTGCTAACCGCTAACCGTTAGCGGTATCCTGATGCCACTAGCGGTTAGCGCTAACCGATCGGGCGTTCTCACGCAGGTGCTAATGGTTAGCGCTAACAGTTAGCTTCCGATCCGGATACTAGGGCTCTCGTGAGAACTAGGCTAAATTGACAAAGAGTATCCATATGCGAGGACTGGACTTGTCCTTAATGATTCTGGATTAGTGATCACCACAAGATGCATTGTATTATCAAATTGTATTTTGACAAAAGTGTGTGACATAGGCTACCTCAAAACAGTCAACAGGCACATCATGACTACAGTATATATAGGCATACAACAGTTTTTTGTCAATCAAATAAATTTTGATAGTTGAACAGGGCGTTAGGGAAGAAAGGAAACAAAAAATAAATTGGTAGAACTCATCTGCGTATGAAACTTTTTTTTTTGTTTAGCATTTATACATAAGTTCAATTCAAGTTCATTCTATCTGCCTTCCTACTGTATTGTGAAAGTTGTAATGGGTTAAATGTCATTTAACAATAACTTGATAAATATGATAATCAACCCTCCTGAAATAGCTCAGGGTTATTATGTTACACAGAATTATACAATACAAATAGCATTTATAGCCTAGAACCCCATTTATGTAAATCTCCAGTGTAAACAGTACCGTAAATGGGAAGTGATTGTATATAAACAATTTGAGGTGAATCTAAGGTAAAATACCCAAACTTTGTCTTTAATCAGGGGGGGGGGGGGGGGATCCAGAAATGGGGGGGCGGATCCAGAAATGTCCAAGACAACATTACTCTTGGGGGTTTGGGGAAATGTCTCCGCGATTTCTTTGTTTTCTAGATATCCGAAAATAAAGTCTGAGGTGTTTTGGGCGAATCAATTATTTCTTTTCTTTCTTTTTTGTTTTTCTTTTAATTTTCCAAAAGGGGGCCAGGCCCCTCTAATTTATATTTTTACTACTTTAATATCAATATGTGCCACGGAAGTCAGTGCCAATGGGTAATCACCATACACAGCAAAATAAAATTAATTATGCTAAGAAAGCTCATTGATACCAGATCTCCCGAAAGAGATTTCTTTCAACTTAAAACCCCTGCCCACAAGAGGTTCAAGTTTATTCCATTTGCTTTATGATCTTATATAGTATTGCAATGACACAATACAAATTTAATTATTCTGGATATTATGCAATACAACTAACATTTATAGCCGGACCCACATTTACGTAAATTTAAAGAGTAAACAGAGCTCGTAAATGGGAAGTGATTGTGTATACACAATTTAAGGTGAATCCAAGTGCAGATGCCCAAAGTTTGGAAGCTGTAGTCTATGCATGCTATAATGTTAGCCCAAACAAATTTTTAAAAAGTAAATAATTGCCGAGTTACTAGGGCCCATAGGAGTTGGAGCTTTTCCCCAGTTTCTGTAGCGTGAAGCAGACGACAGTGTGAACGCCAGTAAACAAAACTTTTGAATTTAGAATGATAACGATGATGAATTTCATCTTTTGATGATAATATCCTGCCAACAAATAGCTGACCTTTGATTTGTAGAATACCTAGAACTTAAGATTCATCTTTGCCATTCTTAAATTGTAAACAAATACATACCGCAGTTTAATGTGTATTTAACATGCACAAAGCTTAATTCGTTATACGGTAACTTAGGCTTGCTTGCGGCGACGATTTGACGTTGCAAATTTTAGTAGATTTGAGCTTGAAACGATAATTATGACAGCATCTATGTACAGTAAATGTCAATAAGTCAGATAGATTATGAACTTTGATTTAAGTAAATTACAGCTAGATGCATCATATTCCATGACCTAGCACATACTCAGAGACTCTGAAGTTGATTGCATCGTTTCTTCTCATTGTAACGCAGGAAAGATATTTTGGTTTTGTAAAGTGAATGTAAGTTTAAGTGTTATATAACAGCCATGGTGAAACCCAATGTGCAGTTTTTTTTAAATGTGGTTTGTGAATTATGTTTTAATGCTCTAGTATTACTACTACGATTTGCAAGGATTATATAACTGGGAAAAAAAGAAAGAAGAAAATATTCGCACCACTCATTGACGACACTCTGAATTATTCAACATATTATAACTGGTAATTATGTTTTACCACCCTTTAAATTTGCATTGTGCATTAAAGTATGTTGTATGTTGTATAATGTGGAAGTGGTTGGTGCATTGGTTGTGGCTGGGACTCTTAACCTTTAGCTTGGTGGTTTGAAACCCTCACTCTAAAAATTCCATTAATGTCCTTCGGCAAGACACTTTATCTATGTTTGTCTCTCTCTGCCCAAGAGTATAAATTGGTACCGGCGTATGCTGGGAAGGTAAAACAGTCTTGCTGTGTGGGAGGAGTGGTAAACTCTCCTCCCCAACCTCCTCCCCCCTTTCCCACCACCCCTCCACCACAGACTTGCCCAGTCTAGCACAAATGCCAAGGAAAGTGTGAGCCCAGAGCTTCAAGTTTCTAACATTACATTTAATGTATATAAATACATTATCTTTTACCACCATTTCATTATTCAATTTTGCCCTATATAATATATAGTATTATATAATATATCTATGCTTCTAATAATATAATTATATTATAGTAAAATTAGGTGTAGTTATATTAAAGTAGATTTAGGTTTACCATTTTCTGTTTTCCAAAACTGTTTGAAAATGTAAACGTCAATAATGAATTATTAATAATTGTTGAGTCCATATTGATGACATATGAAATTGCAGTTTAATTGACGAATACTTTTGTATATAATCCTAAACTGTCAGATAGCTCATATTAATTAAAAACGTGAGTTTAAAATAACCTGTTAGTAATTGATTGGATAAAGTTGCAATAATTCCTGCAGACTCCTTGTCTATGAACAATTTGTGATTATAAAAAAAACCCCTCAAATTTACATTTTAACAAGCATTATGTGTTTACACATCTGGGATTAGAATGAAATGCACTAAATGAAATAATATAATAATATTCCTTGTTGTGTGACATAGTTTTTTTGCTGTAAACTTTTGCACTTAATGTGGGTCAGTTATCACAATATAATGAAAGGCTGTTTTTGTGACATTAAAATCAAGTTGAAATAGTGTATAA